ATCACCCCCGCGGTTCCAAGACGGTCGGCATGGAAGCATGGACCATCACCAAGATCGGCGTCAGCAAGATCCCGCCGTATATAGGTCATGGTCAGCGTGTTTCTTGTCTCGAAGTTTTTGGAATGAAACTTCTGCAGCAAAAACGTCGACGACCCACGCCGAGACCGAACTCGCGGCGCTGCGCACCCTGCCCAGGCGAGGGCGATGCGCCAGTGCAGCGAGCACGCCTGGAAGAGTGACCCTCACGATCTGGTCTGCCCTGACCAGCCTCGAACTCATCCCTACCCCCAGGATCGACAAGCCCAAGGCAATGAAAATCTTAGGGATGTGCCCTCAGAAACTGAGGAAATCTCTCAGATCGACATCGAGGTGAGGTGATGCCAAACGTAGCGATAGGGATGTGTGTCAAGCTGGTAGTGCTCGCCTGCTTCTCGCCACGCGGCCGACCCTGGCGACTCTGAGCCCTGAGCGACCACGCTGACACACCTCGGGCGTGCGCACTTGCTCTTCCCGCCGGCGGAGCCACCTTCGTTCTCTTCGTTCTTAGAAATCCACCTAGATGGGGTCCGAGCAGAAAGGTTCGGATGATCTCGCCGCATCGACAATGCATCGCCGATGCATGGGCGATGCAATGGCGATGTATCGGCGACGTCGGCGACGCATCGGGGAGGAGAACATCGGGCTCCACATCGAGCCGCATCGCCGATGCATCGGCGATGCGGTGCGATCCTTCGATCCCATCTGGGAGGCCTGCAAAGTTCAATGGTTAGTGAACCCGATGGAAAAATCCACGGACACCCCCCCGAACAATCCAGACAACCCATGCTGATTAATGGCGACAAGACGACCTACCCCAAACAACCCCTTTGCCCTTGGACAAACCAGCGTGGATCTGGACAACCCCACCGGACAGCCTCCTAGGACAAGCCTCCCAAGGATCCTCGTCCACAAGACAGGAGTGGAGCTTTGCTTGCGCCGCCATCCGCCAGCCTTTCGCCGAGGAGGATCGGCGACCCGTCGGTCCCTCGGACGCGAGGCCCCCTCTGGAGCGCCCGGCGAGGTGCCGCGGTGCTCGCGCCGTGGACAGGTCTTCCTCCTCCTCCTCCATCCTCCTCCTCCTCCTCCCTCCTCCTCCTCCTCCTCCTCCTCCTCCTCCTCCTCCTCCTCCTCCTCCTCCTCCTCCTCCTACTCCTCCCCCTCTGAAGGCCCTGGCGGCCCCAAAAGGGAGCCGCCCACCACAGGCCGGAGCTCGGGGGCAGCGGAACTGCCCCGAATCTGCCAGACGCTGGAGGTCCGGGTGCGGGGGCGCCCCCGACAGGAGGAGGATGCTCCTGCTCCTCCCTCCTTCGTCCTCCAGCCTCCTCACTCACTCCTCGTCCTCCCGCCGCCTCTGTTCTCCTCCTCCCTCTTCCCTCCTACATCCTCCATCCCTCCTCCTCCCTCCTGACTGGCTGCCTCGGCGCCCGCAGCTGGACACGCACACCCGACCCGTAGTTTTCGTCATGCTGTGTGAACACACAGAGAGCGATGACCATGACCAAAAGACTGAAGGCGGCAACGTTGGTGCCGATCTTGGTCATCGTCTATCTTAGATGTCGTCAGTTCGTAGATCATCCTCGCGAATCGGCGACTGCCAGCATGGACCTGTGTGTTGTTTGTGTATGTGTGTTTGCTTGTGTGTATGTGTGGTTATGTTTGTACATTACGGCTTCTGCATATTCTCATATGTGCTTCTGTATTTATTATACGATTGCTGTATACATGTTATTGCGCAGAGAAGGGACTGCCCAGAGATGCGAATACACTTTCTCGGGTGTAGTTTCAGAAGTGTGCTTGAGACTTGCTCACACACCCTTTGACATCATAACTTTTCTGTTGCACACCGCCTGTCTTCTATACTTACGTGTTTGCCTGCACGCGTATTTCTGCCTATTGCCGTTTTGTACTAAACGTTTCTTGGCCAGCTGCCCGGCGCCTCGCATAGGGCGAGGCCAGCGTCGCCCAGAGCAGCAGCTGACGTTCAAAGACATGCCACGCTAGTCAGGCCAGACAGTATTGCCACAAATCAAGAAATGTGGTCGAGTGATACTGTTACGAATCTAAAGTTATTCTTCAGTATCTTGTGTTGCCGTCTTTCGACGCTGCCGGGGTGCTCTCCAGGGGGCTCGCAGGGATCTACGAGACACGAGACCCACGGGGACCAGGGCGGCGTGCACGGGAGCTAGGAATACTTCTCATCCTTTCAGCGTGTGTGTGTGTGTGCGTGTGTGTGTGTGTGTGTGTGCGTGTGTGCGTGCGTGCGTGCGTGCGTGCGTGCGTGCGTGCGTGCGTGCGTGGGTGCGTGGGTTCGTGGGTGCGTGGGTGTGGGTGTGGGTGTGAGTGTGGGTGTGGGTGTGGGTGTGGGTGTGGGTGTGGGTGTGTGTGTGTGTGTGTGTGTGTGCGTGTTTGCGTGTACGCGTGCGTATGCGAGCCTGGGATACATAGAGAAGCGAAGAGACTCCCGCTGCCGGTCTCCAGGCTCGCACGACCCCCCCCCCCTGTCTTTCCTTCCTCCCCCGCTGACTCGCGGGAGGGGGGTCGGGGGACTGCTCATTGGACTGCTCATTTGGTGTGTAAGGCCCCTCGGGGGCGCACTGCGAGTGCCACCACCCCGAAGGGCCTGTGACAACCCGCTGGAGTTCGCTGGAGCTCGGTGGTGTTGCCTGATGCTCACGATGCAGCAGCGAGGTCGGCGCCTCGACAGAAGACTGGGCCGTGGCCCACAGATGGCGGCATCCTGCCCGACGAAGGCAGGGGAATGGATGGAGCGCACCCCCTGTGGCAGCCTGCTTCGTTACTCTGTGCCCACGAGGCCCCCCATACTTTTGTGCACTCCGTGCCTTTAATTTTTCATGCTAGCTGTCTGCCTGAATTGTTTGCTTCTGCGCCTAAGTCTGTATACTGTCCCACAGCTTGGCCCTCGGAACGCAACAGCTCATGTCCGCTCAACGTCGTAAAGAAAGGAGGAGGAGGGAGAAAGATGAGGAGGGAGGTGAATGAGAGGAGGGAGTGGGAAGCGCGGAAGTGGGCAAATGGGGAAGGTGGAGAGAGTGGAAACGTGGAGGAATGGGAAGCGGGAAGATAGATGTGGATGGAATGAGACGAAGGGCACGGGGGGCAGGAGAAGGAGGGGGAGGGATGAAGGGTAGTGGGAGGAGGGGAGGGAGGGGGGTGGAGAAAGGGGGGAGGGTGGAGTAGGAGGGAGACGCGGGCGGAGGAGGAGGAGGAGGAGGACTGAAGCATCAGGTCGCTGAGCCCGCCTCCTTGAGATTGAACAGGAGGCCGAAGAAGTCTGGGCCCTTCCCCGCAGCAACTTCCTCCTGGGGGCGCCAGATTGTCCTCCTTCTTCTCCCTCCCCGCCTCTGAGGGGGGGAAGAGGACAGGGGAGGGAAGAGAGTGATAAGGGCGCGCTAGGTGCGGTCGCGTCGTTTCTGACGTCCTACCCCGCCCTCCCATCCCAGTCCATTGCGTAAGCCCCTCCCTATTTGCACAATGCGATGTCGAAGAGGACATCGACCCCTAAAGGGTACAGTCAACCCGTATAATAAGGACGAACGCTAAGGATGCGAAGACCTTGGACGTCCACGTCGACACTCTGCGATCGGGGCACGGCCTGCGAAAGCGGCCAGGGATGGGCCGAAGGGGAAGGACGCAAGGGTCACGTTGGAAGGTCGCTCATCCTCGCTGTGCGGCTTGAGTGCACGCGACGAGGAGGGGGGAGGGAGAGAAGCGGGAAGGTCGGCGGCCCCTTGGGCTCCGCCCTCCTCCACCCCGAAGAGCGCGAAGGGGGGGGGACAGCAGGGACGGAGGGGGCGAGGGATGAGTGAGGGCATGTCGGCCCGTGCAGAGGCCTCCGACGCAAGGTCCGAAAAGGGAGGTGGTCGGCGAATCGCGCCGCATACCCCAACGCATCGCCGATGCATTGGCGATTTCTTCGCGACGCTTGGAAATCTGGGCGTTCCCCCGTTATCCCCCCCCCCCGTTTTTCATTCCCCGCGTCAGGAGCTCTCTGGAAGCTTTCTCATACAAGATTGCGCCAGAACCTGCTACGTATACCCATGCCAAGAACCTCTAGAACCTCCCTCAAAGAACCGTGTAAGAAAGACGTCGGCAACCATCGGTGAACCTCCCTCACAGACCCCTCCCCCCTCGGGCCGAAGCATTGTCGGCGGCGCCCAAACCAGCCTTCCTCCAAAAGAATTCCCACGATCTGGGCGTGAGCATGCCCGTGTAACTCCCCTGGCGGTCCCCCTTGGGATGCCCGAGTGGCATGCCTGCGAGATCGCGGCACGGTGGGCACGCCCAAACCAAAGTGTTGCCCAACACGTCCACACAATATTGGTTGGTGCGGACAAGCCCGTGAATCACCCTTTTGCAGCTCCCGTGGGCGTGCGTGTCCATGTGGCCCTCGGAAGATAGTTGGCGACGCCGAAGCCAGCGTTTCGCCTGGCATATCCACATAGTTTGGACGCGATATGAGTCAGAGTGTGAAAAGGGTCTAACTCTGCGCGTGTCAGAGCGAGCATAAGAAAGTCGCAATATGGACGATAGATGGAGGCGGGAGGTCAGGAGATGGAGGCGCGACACAACTAGCAATAACCCCATACACATCTAGAATGGAGCAACTAGCAGAATACAAGTATCCCAGTGCGACCCTACCTAGGAGTTGGAGCATTTAGGAAAGCAACATCTACACCTACACCGACAGCTACAGTTACAGTTACACCTGCATCTACATGCCGTATACGCTGCGCTGTGCTATGCTATGCGATGGTTTACTATGCTGCGCTGTACTGCGCTTTGCTATGATATGGTATGCTAGGGTACGCTCGGCTGCGCTGTGTTATGCAAGGCTATGCTATGCTATGATATGATGCGCTATGCTATGCTGCGCTATACCATGCTGTGCTAGGCTATGCTATGATATGATATACTGCGCTATGCTATGCTTTGATATGCTAGACTATGCTATGGTATGATATGCTGCGCTATGCTATGGTATGATATGCGATGCTATGATGCGCTGTGCTATACTATGATATGATATGCGATGCTACGATATGTTCTGCTATGCGATGCTGTGCTGCGCGTTGCTATGATAAACAATGACATGCTATGATATGCTATGCTATGCTGCACTATGCTATGCTATACTATGCTATGCTGAGCTATGCTATGCTATGCTATGCTATGCTATGCTATGCTATGCTATGCTTGGCTATGCTATGCTATGCTATGCTGTGCTAATGCTGCGCTGCGCTATGCGGCGCTGCGCTAAGCTAAGGTAAGCTAAGCTAGGCTAGACAAAGCTAAGCTAAGCTAGGCCAGGCTCAGCTAAGCTAAGCTAAGCCAGGCTAAGCTAAGCTAAGCTAATATGAGATATGCTAAGCTAAGCTAAGCTAAGCTAAGCTAAGCTAAGATGAGATATGCTAAGCAAAGCTAAGCTAAGCTAAGCCAAGCTAGGCTAGGCAGAGCTAAGCTAAGCCAAGCTAAGATGAGATAAGCTAAGCTAAGCTAAGCTAAACTGGGTAAACCCAGGGAACGTAACGGGGGGAACCGCGGGGCGGATCCTGGGGGAACCGCGAGGCGGATGCCGGGGGAACCGCCCGGGGCGGGCATTTACACTGCCCGGCCCTTTAAGCAAACCGAGTAAGAACCCTTCTAGGCAGAGCCTAGGTAGGGAACTGATGTAAGATGAAGCTAAGCTAAGGTAAGCTGAGATAAGCTAAGCTAAGATGAGATAAGCAACGCAAAGTAAAAGGACGTAACTGGGGAAACCACGGGGCGGATCCTGGGGAACCGCCTGTGGCGGGCCCCACTGCCCGGCCCTTTAAGCACACCGAGTAAGAACCCTTCTAGGCAGAGCCTAGGTAGGGAATAAAAACCGAATTTTGACTTGAGCGATCCCCACCAACACCTTTGGCGTGTGTTCCCAGCAGAGCCCACGTCGCGTTTGAATCATGGAGTGCAAAGTGTGCTGATGCTGTGCTACGTTGTGGTATATGATGTCACTGGTGTACTATGAATTGGTATGTCATGGTATGTCATGCTATGGTCGGTAGTGTATGAGTTGTGGTAATATGCTCTGGACTGTCTGATCCATTATGTCATAGCGTCTGGTCGTATGGTATGGTATGTGCTGTTATGACGTAACACATTCTGCCATGCTGAGAACTGCGTGGGTGGATTCAAAGATTCAGGCCCGGCTCTCGGGATTCGGTGCTCTGGCTTCGGATTTCGATGTTTGAAGTTCCGCGTTTCGGGCCCGCTCTCGGGTTTCGGGTTTTGGGCTTCGGATGTCCGGTTTTCGGGTTCCGCGTTTCGGGCCGGCTTTCGGGATTTCGTGTTCTGCCTTCGGATTTCCGGTTTGTGGGGTGCCGCCTTTCGGGCAGGCTTTTCGGTTTCGAGTCTCTGGCTTCGGGTTTACCATAATTAGGTTTCCGCGTTTCGGGCTGCCTGTCGGGTTTCGATGTTCTGGCCTCCGATTGTTTTGATCCCGCGTTTCGAAAGCTTTCAAATTTCAATGTTGTAGCTTCGGATTTCCGATGTTTTTGGTTCCGCGTTTCGGGCTGGCTTTCTGGTTCGGTTGTCTGGGATGCTCTGGCGTCGGGTTTCGGTTTGCGGGATTCGCGATGCGAGTTTCAGTTTGCAACGCCTGGTGCAGCGCCCAGTACAGCGCCTGGCACAGCGCCTTGCACAGCGCTTAAGCGGCTCATAGAACAGCTAACAGAAGGCCCAAAAGAGCGGCTCACAGAGCGCAGCCACTACGCTGGAACGCTGAAAACACTACATAGAAAACACTACGTAGAAAGCACTACGTAGAAACCATTACGTAGAAAACACGACCTAGAAAAACACAAAGTAGAAAACACCAGGTAAACAAAACACAACGTAGAAAGCACTACGTAGATAACACTACGTAGAAAACACGAGGGAGAAAGCACTGCGTAGAAAACACTACGTAGACAACAGTGCTTAGTTGTTTTAATCACGACTCGGAGTTTGATGTTTAAGATTTGTAAAGGGAGCCCTAGGGCCCTAGGTTGTGGTGTGATGCTCTGGTTTGTCGTAGCCGATGGTGTTGTGCTTGACGGTGTTTTGCTATGCTATCAACCCGCTCTGTGATCATGAGTTGTCGGCGCGAGGCGGGACACTCGGGCACACTCGGGGGCACTCGGGGTCACTCGGGAGACCTGGGGATCTGTCGGCCGCGGTATGCAGAATGGCGCGAGGCGGGACTCTCGGGGACGCTCGGGAGACCTGGGAATCTGGCGGCCGCGGTATGCAGAGTGGCGGGAAGCGGGACTCTCGGGGATACTCGGGGGACCCGGGGATCTGGCGGCCGCGGTATGCATAGAGGCGCTAAGCCGGACTCTCGTGGAAACTCGGGATACCTGGGGATCTGGCGGCCGCGGTATGCGAAGCGGCGTGAAGAAGGGACTCTCTGGGACACTCGGGTGACCTGCGGATCTGGCGGCCGCGATATATGCACAGTGGCGCAAGGATCTAGCGGCCGCAGTATGCAGAGTGGGAGATTGGGCGAGCCGGCGCGAGGCGGGACACCCGGGGACACTCGGGGACACTCAGGGACACTCGGGAGACCTGAGGATCTGGCGGCGGCGGTATGCAGAATAGCGCGAGACGGGACTCTCGGGAACGCTCGGGGAACCAGGGGATCTGTCGGCCGCGGTTTGCAGAGCGGCGCGAGGCGGGACTCTCGGGGACACTCGGGGGACCTTGGGATCTGGCGGCCGCGGTATGCAGAGTGGCGCGAGGCGGGACTCTCGGGGACTCTCGGGGGACCCGGGGATCTGGCGGCCGCGGTATGCACAGAGGCGCGAGGCGGGACTCTCGGGGACACTCGGGGGACAGGGGAATCTGGCGGCCGCGGTATACAGAGTGGCGCGAGGCGAGACTCTCGGGGACACTGGGGGGACCTCGGGATCTGGCGGCCACGGCATGCAAAGTGGCTTGAGGCGGGACTCTCGGGGATATTCGGGGAACCTGGGAATCTGGCGGCCGCGGTATGCAGAGTGGCGCGAGGCGGGACACTCGGGAACACTCGGGGAACCTGGGGATCTGGTGGCCGCGGAATGCAGAATGGAAGGGTCGGGAACTCTGCTCTCGAAATCTTGCGACCCAAACTTGTCGGGTAGGAAATCAGCGCGGCAGGGTCGGCGCCAGCCTGGACCCGAGCAATCCGCGTGGACCTCCGAACGTTTCTGTCCATGTCATGATCGTCCGAGTAGGATGCCGACTACAGAAATGAATTGCCCCAAAGCCGTTCCCATCGAATCTGCGAACAATGCGTAGAATGCGCCGGAGATATATGGAACATGCTACGTACCGATGTTCGTATAATCGGCCTGAAACTGTAGTCGATCGCCTCCTCGAATCCTCTCTGGTCCCTCGATTCGCGGTGGTCCTCAGCGCTAGCCGCCTCAGGGCGACGAGACCTACACGTGCCCACTGCTCCTAGCTCAGCCCAATGTACACGTCCCCCCCCTCCCCCCTCCGGCTTGGCCAAGGCTCAGTCAAGACAGAGTCGGGATTGATTGGAGAGGACACGCGAGAAAACGCAAGACCCTTCCGAGGGCCACCCTGCCATGGGAATGTAAAGGCATGGGTCGCAAAACACAGGACACGAGGGTACCCTTGATTTTGGCAGGGTCGACCCACTGATGAATCTCGACTGCAGGCCCCGAGGCGGTGGGTTGAGGCTGAACGGAAGGGGGGGTGCAGCTCGGGGGGGAAACTTGAGTGGGGGCATCGGCGAGGCATCGCCGATAGATCGGCGACTGGCCCCCGATGGCACATGCATGCAAATGCGCATGCTCCTGGGCGGGGTGGGCCAGCAGGCCACCATCGGCCACGAATGGCCGACTGAGGATCGGCGAGGCACGTAGACCAAACTATACCGATATCACTGCTCCCTGGACCTCTCCAGGGGTGCGTTCTGACGAGAATGTCGGGGCGAATTCAGACGTGGCCACGAAAGCCTCCCAGGAGGCCCAAAACGGCGAAAACGAGGAAGGGCAGCGGCGTCGGTACCTTTACCTCCTGTGGTGTCCACCCCTGACGTTGCCGCGCCATGGAAGCTAGAAATCACTTCACGGAAGCTGTTGGTCGTGCCCATGGCGCCCAATATCACGCCCAATCGCGCACAGAGCAGACAGAATGCATCTATCTCCCTCACTTGGCGCTGTTGGGAGTTTTCGGCCGCTCTTGGGCGCTATTTGAGACTACTCGGCGCTGCTAGGCGCTATTGGACGCTATTTGGCGATATTAGGTACTATTTGGCCCTATTGGAGCTTTTCGCAAATATACACATTGTGAAGTCAAGAGCAATGGGAACCTGTGCATGAGTCGGTGTTCTTTCCCGCCATTAGCTCGGCCCTCTCTGGTGGCTGTTCGGGACGATCCGGGCACCCCCGAAACGCTCTCGACGAGGCGCATCCGATGGAAACCACGCCAGGCCTCGAACATCTCAACGCGTTCCACAACATCCCCTTCATGGATCTGCATGTCGGCGACGAGCCCAGGGGAGAAGCGAGAGGGGACGGGCCTTGGCAGTCCTGGAAAGAACACTCTCGAAACCTCCCCCCTCACGGATGTGTATGACAGGGGATATTTCGACCCCTATCCCAAACATCGTGGGGGTTCGAGTGGACCAGGAACTTGGGGCCCAATGCCAACCCTGGAATATACGAGAGGGGGGCGCCCGTCCTCGACAGGGGTGCACCCGAACAGCCCCCCTGGGGTATATCCCAGGGGTCCCCTCCATTCTGCGCGGCTTCATTTGTCGTCGAGACGTCGGGGGTTGGGGGAGAAACATCGCCTGCGAGTGTATAGGTCTCGTCGACCGACCGCCTGCGGGCCCGCCGCCAGCGCCACGACCAGCGCCGCCGCCGCGGACAGCAGCAGCGCGGGCGCCGCAACGGGCCGCCCACGACTTCCACCGCTCGAGGGCGCCGCCGACGCGGCGGGGGGCTCCGCCGGCGACCGAAGAGGGGAAGGCCGTCCCTCCTCGATCCTCCTCCTCCTCCTCCTCCTCCTCCTCCGCCTCCTCCTTCTCTTCCTCCTCCTCCTCCTCCCCCACTTTTCCTCCTCCGCCTCCTCCTCTTCCTCCTGGTCTTCCAAATCTCCTCCTCCAGCTCCTCCTTCTCCTCCTCCTTATGGGCTTCTTCTCCGTCTCCTCTTCCTCCTCCTCCTCCTCCTCCTCCTCCTCCTCCTCCTCCTCCTCCTCCTCGTCCTCCTCTCCTGTTTCCCCTCGCAGCTCTCGTCCTCCTGCTTTTGAGTTGTCCAGCCTCCTCCTCCCCCTCCTCCTCCTCCTCCTCCTCCTCCTCCGCCTCCTCCTCATCATTCTCCTTCTCGTCCTCGCCCCTGGCGGCTGAGAGGAGGGAGGGACGGGGAGGCTTCGCCCTGTTGGGGCTGACTGCGCCTCCCAGACGCCCCTGGCGCCGTGACGAAAACCACGACGGAAGGCGCTGGGCCACTCTGGGTTCCCGGGGGGAGGCCTCCTGCCTGGCCTCAGGGCAATTGGAAGACCGTCTCGGGATGAAAAGCTGGCCCTGGGGAAAGGGTCAGGCCCCTGGGTTTGGAAGCACGAAATGGGTTCGGGAAACATGGGTACAATGCCTAACAGCAAAGGTTGTCCCAAACCGACAACGGCCGCGGTTGGGCCGGCGGCTGTCTGTCTTCAGTGAACAGCGTCCGCGGCGGCGCGGACAGCAGTTCCTGTGAAACATTGGCAGGAATTGTTGGGCATCGTATTTTTTCTCTCCGTACCCTTTTCGATCGTCCCGAATGGGTGGCGCAGCGCACACGAAGACAGCCTCGCGCAGGACGGGCGGACTACAAGAAGTCTGCTGGGCCATGTGTGCTCGACACACCGGATGGGCCTCGGTCTCAATCGTCTACTGCCAAGGCACCCCCAATGGGTGCGCTCATTCGGTGGGTCCCGCGTCGTCTGTTCTTTGCCGCCGGATGCATGGAAGCAGAGCGGCGCATGGAGAGGAGGACCGAGGCGTCGAAGGAGGGGGTGAAAGATGGTGACGAGGGGAAGAGAAGGAAAGTTGACGACGATGGTGGTGATGAAGTGGAGGGGGGTTGAGGAGGATAGACACACGGAGGGCATAGGATGAGGAGGTTGGAAAAGGACAGTGGAGGACGTACCAGGCACGACTACGCCATGTATGTGTAGCACTCCACAGTCGCGGATAAGAGGGAGGGGGCTGCGAGGACGTCGGCACTCTGCGAGGCTCTGAAGAAGCCCGCCGCAGGCGCCTAAGGATTTCAAAGTATCAGAGTGAGGGGGCCGAACGGTCATGCACCGTCCCTGGGCGCGGGGCTGGAGTGAGGTTCTGCGGTGCGAAATGTTTTGAATACTCATTTCTCTCACATCTAGAGAATAATAATTGTTGATCTCCAGAAACGGTTCCGCGCGCTCTCGCCTCGACCACGGCTACAATTTCTTTGACAACGAGGCTCCCGCGCGAGCGTTGGCGTGAATGTAAGGTGTGCCCTTGGAGGCCCGGCTACGACGACAACGGCTCCCGCTCGATACTTCCTCACAATGTACCCCGAGACACCCTGGCCCCCAAACTCAGGAACGGCGCTCTCCCTCGAGAACTCCTCGCAATTCAGTCAAGACAAGTTGGCGGAGGCCCCCGACGACAAGAGCTTCTGCTCGATCATTCCGCACGATTTACTCCGAGAACCCCTGGCCAGGAAGGCCCCCGAACTCAGGAACATCGCTCCCGCTGGAGACATCCTCGTGATTCAATCCAATTGGTGGAGGCCCAGCAACGACGACAAGGGCTCTCATTCGATACTTCCCCGAGATGTATTCGCAGAGGCCCTGCCAGAGAGGCCCCCGAACTCAAGAGTGGCGCTCCCGCTCGAGATTATCGCGTGATTCAAGCAAGTTGGTGGAGGCCCAGACACGTCCACAAGGGTTCCCGTTCAAATTTTCTCAACATGTATTCCGAGAGCCCCTGGCCTGGCCAGAGAGATCCCGGAACTCAAGAACGGCGCTCTCGCTCGAGAGTTCCTTGCACTGCAGTCAGTGGCCGGCAAGGAAGATATTCCCCCGAAAGAGGGTGCGATCGAGGACGAAGTAAGCGGATATCGAGGGTTGGGGTATACAGAATGCCAAACACGCGTGCCAGTAAAAACGAATAGTCAATAAAATGAGTGCTGTTGTTGTTTGTGGTTGTGGTGTTGGCGTTGGTGTTGTTGTTGATGCTGTTATTGATGTTGTTGTTGTTGTTGTTGTGATTGTTGTCTGTTGTCCTCGCCCCCCCCGCGACACACCCGCGAACCACTGGCGACACACCCGCGACCCACGCCGCGACGCACCCGCGACCCACCCATGACCCACCCCGCAACCCGCGCGCGACCCACCCGCGACCCATCCGCGACCCACCCGCGACCCACCCGCGACCCACCCCGCGACCCACCCGCGACCAACCCGCGATACACCCGCGTCTCACCCCGCGATCCACCCACATTTCTTTAACGATGAATCGGTGCTTGCGGCGGGCTCGTTGTACAATTTGTGCAGATTGGGCGCCTGCAGCGGGCGTCTTCAGAGCCTCGCAGAGTGCCGAAGTCCTCGCCGCACCCTCACTCTGCACCCTCACTATTATCCCCGACTGCGGGGCGCTACGCACAATGAGCCCGCCACAGGCGCCGAATCTTCGTTAAAACGTGGGTGGGCCGCGGGGTGGGTCGCGGATGGGGTCGCGGGTAGGTCGCGGGTGGGTCGTGCGCCGGGTGGCGGGTGGGTCGCGGGTGGGTCGCCAGTGCGTCGCGGGTGGGTCGCGGGATGGTTTGCGGGAGGGACGACAACAACCACAACAACCACAACAACCACAACAACAACAATAACAACAAGCTGCACCGCAGAACCTCACTTCCGCCACGCGCCCAGGGACAGTGAATGACCAGTGGGCTCCCACACTCTAATAATTGTAGAAATGAAACGCCTGCGGCGGGCTTCTTCAGCGCCTCGCACTGCCGACGCCCCCGCCGCCCCCTCACATTTGTCTGCAACTGCGGGGTGGTACATACATCAGAGTGAGGGGGCCGAACGGTCATTCACTGTCCCTGATGTGCATGTGAACGCAATAGGTGTACAGAGAGGGATGGTGGGAAAAAGAAACAGATATATATATATATATATATACATATATATATATATATATATATATATCTAAATATGTAGATATAGAAACAATACAGATAACGAGAAAGAGAAGACGGGGGAGAGAGAGACAGAGAGAGAGAGAATGACAAACTCAAAACAACGCACGTACAAACATGGATACGGAGGGAGGGGGTGGAAGAGAGAAAGAGAGACAGAGCGAGATAGAGATAGTGAGAACAAATACAGATGTAGAAACATGGAGACATGCATGAGCGGAATCGTCCGAGGGGAACAATGTAAGTGGGGCTGTCGAGAGAACAATCAGGAGAAGGAGGAGGACGACGACGACAATGACGACGAGGACGAGGGGGCGGGAGGAGGAGAGCGAAGAAAAAGGAGGACGATCATGAGAAAGAGGAGCGGAAGAGGAAGGAGAGAAGAGTAAGAAGCAACGTGAAAAAGGGGAGGAGATAAGAGGAAGGAAGAGAAGTAGCGGAAGAGGAGGGGAGGGATCGACGAGGGATGGCCGAGGGGGAGGGCTGTGGCACATGGGACTGGATGGGTCCTGGCAGACGACAGGTTCTTGACGCCGGGGGCTTTCCCTGGGACCAGCTTCGTTTCACTCCAAGCAGCTTGCGCCGCGGCCTGGGGAGCCCGACAAACCGTGACTGTAAGAGCCTCCACCGCCCTATCTACCCTCGAAATGCTGAACCCACGGCGAGCTGCAGCGGGAGGGCACCGCAGCAGGAGGGGATGGATAGAGGCTGCGGCCAATGCATAATCAAAAACGTCCGAGACTCCGCCCGGAATTTCAAGGATCGACGCTGGACCCCCCTTCCCAGGCGCACGGGGGCCGGGGACCGCGCCGGCGGCGCCGCCGAAAGAACCCAGCGCAAATCCAAGAAATCCGCGCGGAACCCCGGAAGTTCCTGTCTACAGTCGAATTCGATACTAAGGACGCACGGTAAGGATGCAAGGCCCTTGGACCTTCCAACATGAAAGCCTGTGGGCATCGAAACGGGCCCAGGATCAGCCGAGGAGGCAGACATGCAACGGTGCCCTTGCGGAAACACCATGTGTTCAGCATGAATCTTGACTGCATGCCGCTCTGCTTCTTCGTCAACCAGCCAGAGCCGGGGCAGTGCAAAACAAAAGGAAAGGGGATGGGGCGCTGCCGGTGCGGCGGCGGCCCAGCGCCCCGCCGAGCCGCCGCGCCTGGGCGTCGCGCAGGCAGAGGGGGGAGGCACCCTGCGCGGGCCGCTGCGAGTCCCAGAGCGATGCGGCAGCCTGCCTCTCGCAGCACCTTGGAGGCCCCGAACACGGGGGCCCCGCGGCGTGGCTCTCCAGAGCTGCACCTCTTCTCGGGCAACGGCTCCTCACCTTGAGCTGTGTTCCCGCGACCCAGAGAGCCCCCCGGCCCAGGGCGATACGGCACCCCGTCTATTGCAGCGCTCCGGGGCTCCCAAAAGAGGTGCGGTGACAGACCGTGCGGCGTGCGGTGATCTCGAAGTTCCCGAAGACCTCACCGCAAGACCCGTCACCGCACAGCTTTAGGGTCTCGGGGACCCCAGTCGCCGAAGACATCCTCAGAGACGACCCGTGCCCCAAAACCGTACGGTCACCCCGTGTCCCACAAAACTCAGCATACGGTGCGCTCGCCGCCTCGCTTGGGGGGCCCTGATGCACGGGGTCCCGCGCTGTCCTCAGCCCTGATCAGTCGTTGTCTGACGCAGGGCCCTGCGGCACCCCGCGGGGGCCAAGAGAGGCCGCAAGCTTCGCGTCGTGATCTGCTGTCACGGCGCGAGGTGGCC